ATATAAATATAAGCCAGCTAATTTAAAGATGCAAATAGAATATAGCAAAAATAAGTTGTGTGGTTCACCATCGAATCGAGGCAAGCCTTAACACCTAACAGTGGAAATGGGCACTGTATAGGTCAATACCAACAAACTAGGCAAGGAGGTGAGAATCAGTAGTGAAGAGAAGTTGCAGAGTGTGAGGGAATCTTGGAGTAACTTGATACAAAATCCTACAGGTACTAGTGAGACACAATGATAAGTTCCATTTAAATTTCAAATCTCAAACTCCAGGCCACTTAAATGAATTTGTCTTTTTAAAACTTTTTATTAGTCCATGTGTGCAGTACATAAAGCTTACATTCCTTGTGTGGAGTTGATACATGGGCATTATGCATCTCAGTTCCTCTTACTTCCTTTCTCTCCTTTCTGTCCCTCTCCATCTCTGGGTGCCCTTACAATTTGTGGAAGATCTATCTCCCTACTTCCTGGTATCTTGTATTTTGTTTTCCATCTATAATTTGTTTTTCTCATATAAGAGAAACTATGTGTTATTTAAGCTTGTATGTCTCAAGGTACATTCATTTTCTTCCAAATGACTGAAGTTTCTCCTTTATGGAGAAAGTCTTTGTCTATGTAAGAAATTACTATAAGATTTTTCATGTCCAGACCGGCCAAATAGCTCAGCAGATTAAAGCACCTGCAAGCAGGCACAGGAGCCGGGGGTTCGATCCCTGGGCCTGCCATGCCAGTCCCGCCCCTGCGTCATGCTGAGATGGCAATTGAGACTATTGTGGTGGCACACGCCTGTAATCTCAGCTCTTGGGAGGCTGTAAACAGGTGGATCACTATGAGTCCAATCCAGTAGTGAGACCCTGAACACCCTGTAGGCCCTTCCCTAAAATAAAATTAAAAAAAATTTTTTTTTCATGTCCAAGCTAACCATGGCGAAGAAATCAGTGTGCCCTACTCTTTCCTTTATGCTATTTGTGAAGTAAACTGTGACCTCCAGAAGCCTCTTTCAACTTTCCTTTTTTCCACAATTTAACTGGTCTTCCCTTCTACTAAAGTGAATTATGGAAAATAGAATCCAAAGATAGTGTTGAATAATAAGAATATTTCATTAATTCAATACAAGTAGATACCTCATCAATCTGCTAACTTAAAGGCTCTTTTCCTTTTGTATTCCTATTGTATTCCTATTGCCTGTGAAGCTGTGGCCCTTTATGAAGCAATTTTAGCCTTTTCCTACAAGGCAAACATTAAAAGAACAGAGGTCAGATATCAACATGGCTGTGTGTTGATTAGAGGATTATGATTAAACATAGGTGGTTTCAGAAACTTGGTAACACTGAAAAATTGATCTCAATTTGAAATATATTAAAATTTTTTTTAATTATGACAGCTAAAAATCATAAATTGATCATAAAAAGTGATTTATCTTTTTTCCCTGAAGGAACTTTTGGCATTTGACATGAAATATTTTTCATGTTCTTTTAAAAAGTATGTATTATCTACACCAAAGTTTCTTAGTCAATGAAGAGATTATATTTTGTGGATGCATTATACAGTTTTTTCAGCTTTTAGTCAGCTGTCTCCCTGCTGTGTTAGGTTTGTTTAGCTGTGCTACAGGTATCAGAGAAATGCCCTCTTATTTCTCTGTAATCCCACCTCTTGGGAGGCTGTAAACAGGCAGATCACTACAAATCTGATCTAGCAGTGAGACCCTGAACACCCTATACACCCTTCCCTAAAATACAAAAAAAAAAATTTTTTTTTTCATGTCCAAGCTAAACATGGTGAAGAAATCAGTGAAAATAGATATCACTGATAGAAATTAGTTGATACTTCTAGCTGGGAGCCACCTTATGTGTTTTAATAGATTTAGATGTGAGCTAGAGCCACAGTAACTTCCAGTTGCTTTAGCCCAAAGTCCTCATGGAGGTGAGCTTGTGAGTGTGACTAGTACAATTGTTAGTTGTGGTATGTGAACTGGACTTAAATAAGAATCACTATCGGATCAGTAAAGCTCTGAGCATGTCTATGGATGATTGACAGGTAGGCCTTTAACGGAGGACGGTAGCCCCAGCCTGGATTTTTGGTGGCACAAACCAATAGACTTATAGCCAGGGCGGGATGCAAATGAGAAAAAGAAGCCCAGTTTTGAAGGTCTCTATCCTTCAAAACAGGTGTAGGTACATCCTTTCCTGCCATAGCCTTTGCACAATAGTCTCGGTCTCCAGTTCCTACAGCTTTTCAATGCAGAATCACCTTGATGGCTCTCCAGGGAGATTCCAGGCCTGTCACCCTGAACTGGGTCCATGTCCTGGGTCCATAATGTGTTCTTAGTGCCACTCATGTGGCTTCAAATGACAGGATTTCATCCTTTTATGGCTGTATAATCATTCCTTTACACATAAGTGGAGAATTAATCACATGCAAGCACATATATACATACATATATGAAAATGTTTTCTCTTTCTTTATTTACCCTCTGATGAGTACCAGAGTAATTCTACACATATCTTGCTACTATGAGTGGTACTGCAGCAGATACTGGGTCAAAAGCCTCCTAGACACAATGACTACTTCTTTTGGATATATATGCAGTGGTACTGCTGTATCATGTGATCATCTTGAGCTGACCCTCTAGTTTTAGGATGTGAACACTAAGCTTCTTTCCAAGCACCATACAGTTGTCCTGTTCTGGAAACAAACCTGCCACCCCTGGCCTCCATGCTGAGAATGTTTGGATACTATCAGACTTTTAGCCCACCAGGCTTTTGGGCAACCCACAGCCAGGCTGGTGTGGCATGTAGCCTGCACAGTGCCTGGTATAGGTTCAATCTCGTCTATGTATTGAATATCTTCTGTGGGCTTGAGGCCAGAGAAAAAGCTGCCTTCCCAATTTGACCAACTTACAAATAAATTTGTTTGTCCTGTTTCTCATTTTTATTTACTGTGGATGACTAGTCAGAAACTGAATGTGGTAGGTCCCACTTTAAGCTTCTGTGGGGCTGGTTCCATTTCTACTGCTAACATGAGGAGCCTAGAATGTTTCCCATCATGATTGCTCTGAGTTGCTTTCCAGATAGCTGTGCAGAAGAGTTACCCTTGCTACATTCTCACTAGTGCTTATTTTTGTCCTTTTGCTGTAGCCATTCAAAGTAGGGTGGGATAATACCTCAACTTTAGTTTTGACTACATTTCCTAGATGCTTAGTCATATTGAACATTTTTTCATAAAATTGTTGGTCATATATTTTAAAGACTGTGTTTTCAGAATTCTTTTCCCATTCTAGTAGGACTATTTTTGTTGCTGCTGTGTTTTCTGGGTTCTTTTTCCCATTCTACACGCTGTCTCTGTTCACTAGTGAGTCTGTGCTATGTAGAAGCTTCTCAGTCTAATATCATCCTATTTGTCTAGTTTTGCTTTTGGTTCTTATCCAAAAACTCTTGATCTGCCTTGACATCCTCAAATATTTCCCCTCTGGTTGCTTCTAGCAGTTTCCTGGTTTCAGCAATGCTGACACATTTTGTTTTTTGCAGTACTCTTACCCAGTACTCTTACAGTACTCTTAGTGAACTAAGCATGATTGCTTAGATAGTATGAATAATTTTACCTGATATGCTGATCTGCTACTTGGAAAATATTTAAGTACATCTTAATTTACAATATTGACTTTTAGGTAGCAATTTATTCTAACTAGGTTTAATTTAAACTCTGAAGCTAATAAAGTTAGAAATTTTTATTTATAAAATTATCTGCGAATGTGACATAAACAGGTGGTTTGTGACAAGAGAAAAGTGAAGAGACAGCATCCTCTCCCATTTCTCCTCTGTGCATACTTGACCATAGCAGAAGGCAGTCTGAAGCCTGAGGGAAGAGTCTTTTCTTCTTATAGCTCAGCTCGAGTGTAAGCCGTGCAAGGAGATGTGGGGAGGGCACTTTGCATAACATAGACACACATCAAGGAATGTCCTTTAGGTAGACTGCACAATAATTACATTCTAAGGGTGTGTGTGTGTGTGTGTGTGTGTGTGTGTGTGTGTGTATGTTTGATATTCTTCAATTTTAAATATTTTTATTACATTTTCAAGTTCATGATAACACTGAGTACCTTTTCATTTCAAGATATTTTGTGAGGGTCACATTTAGGAAATTGTATAAAGTAATTTTATTATTTGATTATAAAAGAATATCATAAAACAAGCAGTCTTACACTAAAACATTCAGAAGCTGATATATAATTATATTTTGATTTTAATGCAAGGATTGTGGTAAGTATGGTGAGTCTATCTGGAGCTTTATACCTGGTAGAGTTGATTATGTCACGAGCAGGCCTGGATCATCAGGGGATCCCTTTAGAAAGCAAGCATTGTGCACTCCCCACCTTGTGTCTGTGTCGTGCACTGTGCTCACCCTCTGTCTGTCTCCTTGCACAAGTTAGACTAAAGCTGATTGGTAAGAAAGAAGGACTCTATCCCCAGACTCTAGAACACATTAGACCCTGCCTTTACAAATGAAGTAACGGAATGATGTACAAATTGTCCAAGAGACGGTACAGGTACAATGGTTAGATAATGGTGAAAAAAAATACTGTCTCCAAAACAACAAAAAATATATTCCAAGGCTTGGACAGAAGGAAAAAAAAAACCCAGAAAGTTCATTAATAAAATCTGAGAATCTGCTAATCCTAATGCTATAACCAAGGAAATAATTTTAGTTCTGTATTTAATAGCTGATAAATATTAAAGTGCTCTCTGTGAACATGTTTAAAAATATGCTACTGGTTGTCATTTCACTATGCAGTATACAACCTGATTTCTCATAATTTATATGTTCTTAGTCTTGCAAATCCAGCTTAATAATAACAACGTTGGATGTGTGAGAGCTAAACACAGGATGCACCTGCAGGACAGGGTTAGTTTTTGTAGGGAAGTGAAACCATTTATCATAAATTTCATGAAAGAAACTCAGGCTGCTGTTCTATATTTATTAAAGCATAAAATTCTTACCTAAGGCTTTCATACACCAGACGTTCTTATCCCAAAGGGCAGGCTGTGTTCGAATGCACTTGGTATGTGATGTAAACTCAGCCTCTACAGTCTCACCAACTACTTCATCTTTCAGGAAAATGAATATCTCACCAGGATTCTATAAGATGAAGATGTAACCCAGTTAAACACTTGAAACACTTTGTCTTAACCAAGGAACTCTTTGCATTTATGAGTGAGAAAGGTCATGTGCTCTCACTGAATGTCTTTTGCCCTATTATATTTGCAGTCATATTCAGAAATGAAATATGTAAATGTGATTTTCACTCTATTTTAAATTTATCAATCTGATATTTATTGAGTGCTTCCCCTCAACACCATATTTGGCAGTGAACAGTGGTGAGAATAGAGCAGGCTTGCCTCTCACTTCTCCCTGCTCATGGCCCTGTCATGGGTAGCAGAGTCTGGAGACCAGCGGAGCCCTACAATGCAACTGGTTTTCCTCTCTAGCTACCTCAAACTCTTTGGTTTATCTGTCAGTGAGATACCATCCAAGTACAATGACTTTTGTAAATGTCCTACTTTTTTAATGTAGTAGAAACACTCTGATTACTCTTTTTAAAGAATGTCTTAAGTTTTATGAAATGGCCAAAGGTTACAAATCCACAAGTTGAAGATTTAACTAATTTGGAAGATATAAATTTATAGGCATATGGTTTGAAGAATTTTTTTTTGAAAAGACACTAGAAATGAGTAGAGCTTAAGGGAAGAAAAAACATTTATTGTGTGTCTATGCTACACTAGGAATTATTGTAAGTACTTTCTACACAAAGATTTTTCTTTCCATCCCAAATGAGACACACACGCACCTCAAGAAAAACATGGATCAGATGATTACTTTTTTCTTTTAGCAACAGAGCAATGATTACTTTTATCTACTTCTGAAGATAATCAGAAGCACTCACTTCCAAATCCACCTATCCCATACATCATGCTAGCCTTTTGGAAAAATATTTTTTTCATTATATGATATAACACTTTCGAAGACTTGCTTCATAGTCCTACTAAATTTCATTCTCATACCAAATAAAAAGGGACTCCATTTATTTTCACTCATAAAGTCATGTTTATCCAAAGTCAGAATGCTCTTGCTTAAATGTTATCTCCCTAAGCATAACTCACAAACCAATAAAACTTGCATTTTAATGGCATCAAAGAGTTTCTACAAATAGGACCAAATAATTACAGCTGATCCACAAATCTGCTTAGGGCATTTTTGCAAGAGTCATGCTCCCAAATATTTGTCCATAAGATCCTTTTGAACCTTTCCTCTTCCCTACCCTGTTCAACTGCAGTGGAGGAAACACCTTATCTTCAAATAACCACCTGAGCCCTGTCATTCTTGCCCTCCATGGGCAGTGTGCAGAAAGTAGGGGGTCTGCCCTTTCTCTGGGTCTTCAGTGCCTTCAGCTCTTCATGTCTGTCACCCAACCTTGAGTCTTTAAGTCTACTCACTTTGGCTCACTCTTCAGGAGCCTCTGCTTTGCTGTTCTTCCCAGTTCTTCCATGCATGAACCACTTCAAGCTTGACTTTGACTTTGCTCTTTCCTAAAGTGGCCCGCACAGATGTCCTCCGTGAATGTTTTATTCACATTACCAACTCATTCTCATTCATGAGAGATCCCACAGCTACTTCACATGCATCAGATTCCTTCCTTAATAGAGGGCAGGATGCCACCTTTCAACCATTTTCAGAGAAAAATTCTAAACAAGAGACAAGTGTCCTGACCTCCCCAAATGAGGCACATACCTCTTCATTTGTACCCAGGCCGGCTTCCTGGGCTGTGACCTGTGCCCTCACACAGACTTACTGCTTACTGCTCTTGGCTTACTGCTCACTGGTCACTGCCTGAAATACTTAATAATTTGAACAAAGGGCCTTGAGTTTTCATTGTGCATTGCAAATGAGATACTTGGTCTGTTTGTGCATGGTATTATTCTAGTATTTAGCTGCTTTTCCCATTTGCTCTCAGACTTCGGCTGTCCACTGAGGATGAACTCAGGCTTCACCAGCTCCATCAAACCCTGCTAGAACCTCAGCACTCAAGAGCTTGGAATTCCAAGGGGATTCTAGAGCAGTTCACATCTATACCCCTCAGTCCAGCCCTGCTTGATTTTACCTCTACCCATTCTAGTTCCACATGTCTGCTGCTGGAGGCACAGCTAGATTTTACACATCATGAAGGAGTTTTTATTTTCTCACATCATGCAGTAACTTGTAAAAGTTATGCATATAAGAGATCATATATATATATAGTGAGATTTTCTCTTGGACTATGATCCACTTTATCTGCCCACCACACCACCCTGGTTAGCAGCCCATGGACCTCTGGCCCATGGATCTCTGGATGAATTCAGCTCATTTGGGTCATGAGGCCTGAATCTTTTCATTCACAAAGCTGTTGCGTGACTCTGTCTTTTGATGCCTCTGTGTGGCCCTTAATTGGGCCTGAGAAATCAGACAGTGGGGTATGGTGATGATCACTACAAAACTCAAATGTTTTCTCACATTGGTCACAAGTGCTGAGGCCTAAAGTGCAGAGCTGAATGTTGGTGCACACTGAAGCAGGTCGGCAGCGAGCTCTCTGGTCCTGCTGACATGGCATCTTTAGCTTAAATGATTCAGTGAGACGAGGTGGGGGGAGACGTTGATCGCAGTGACCTCAGGAACTTGTTATGGGCTTTATCCAGTGGCCAACAGCTCCTTCCATGCATCAATCCAGGCTGTGGTGCCAGGGCTATGTGGGTCTCTGTTTGACATTAGTTTTATCCAGAACAACAGAGGAATAATTTGTCACAGTGGGCCACAATTTGGCTGCTAATTCTCACTTTCAGAGTCACCTGGAAAGCTTTGACAACTCTGTCCAGGTTACAACAGGCCATTTATTTCTGGATCTGTGAAGGTGAGAATTTAAAAGAAAACAATTTCCTTGTAGTCTCTAATGGTTCCTAGTACTTGGAGAACCAATTGTCTTGTCAAAGGAAAAAGACATTTTGACTTCTCTGTATCTCATTTCTAGAATGGCAGCATTTCAGAGAATGGGCATTTTAAGCAGTGGGCACAATCATCTTATACTTTGTTGAGCTTTTAAAATTAAGTCACTGAAGGGCCAGCCAGATAGCTCAGTGGACTAAAGTGCCTGCTCAGGCAGATGCAGGGACTGGGGTTTGATCTCCAGCGTGCCATGCCAGACCCACCCCCGGGGTTCTGAAACTAGGCATGGTGGTCAAGGCTATAATCCCAGTGCTTGGGAGGCTGTAAACAGGAGGATCACTAAGAGTCTGATCTGTATAGTGAGACCCTATAGACTCTGTACTAAATACATAAAGAATAAAATGATAATAATAAAATTAAGTCACTGGATTAGGCCTTGGTTACAAAGAACTGACTTGTGATTTGGCATCAGAACTACATTGCAGGTGCTGGCTGTTACTGTTTACTATTTTAAATTGGATACAGGGCCACTGTTAAGAGGAAATCTCTGAGCGCCCGAGGGGTATAAGAGGTGCATTCTTCCTTAATGTCTGGGGGTCTCTCTGTTTGCTGAGTCCGTAGTTGGTGGTCAGTGCTGTAGGTTTGGAGATTCAGGATCTTTTCAGATACAGGGGTGTTGAGGAGCAGGTCACAAAATTTAGGCCCTATTAGAGGATTTTTTTGTGTTCTAGGATTCTGATAGGCTATTGAATGAAATTAATGCACATCTAATTCTAGTAAAGCCACTGAGGTGGTCTTCAGGGTTGCCCTATAACATTAAAAACTGAATTTGTTTAAGAAATCAATGTATGAACTGGTTTGAAAGATATCTTAATCTCATTCTCAGAATATCAGGGTAGCTGCAGTGGGAGAATAAAACCCAGAAGAAAGGACTAAGTGTTAGTTGTACTGAAGGAAGGGAACAATTTGGGGCAGGAAGGCTGAGATTTGGCTGGAAGTTTCTTCCAAAAGGAAGGGGAGCGGGCACATTAGAGATGTGCCTGTGAGGATGGAAGGAGGTAGAGGAGAGGCATTCACCTGGTGATGGGGGGCACTGCTGGGGACACACTGAGGCTGTCACCCAGGCTGTGATGGGGCTCACAGAAAGGAGTAGAGCAGAGGCTTCAGGGGCAAACTCTGGCACTTCAGGAGGCACTCTCATGGAGAGCATACTTGATGGAACTCTCTTAAAACTTTGGATAAAATTTCTAAAGAGAGCGACTGAGCTAGGCATGGAGGAATGCATCTGGCATCCTGGTATGGTGACAGGCTGAGGCAAAAGGGCCCCAAGTTTCTGTCCAGTGTGGATAACTTGCTGACTCAATGACATCCTATCTCAAAAACAAAAAAAAAAAGGCTGGGAATGTTGCTTAAGGTGAAGGTCCTGGGTTTGATCCCCAGTATGGCAATAACAATAAAATAACAAAAAATAAGAAGGAGTAGCTGGAAGTACTCTTCCAAGATTAAGTAGCTCTATTGAGTGACTGTAGGACATCTGGGCAGCTTGCAGAGAAGCTGTGAAGAGAGAGACACTGAACTGATGGCTGTGTGCAGCAGGTCTTAGGATGAACTGATGTGGTACCATTCTGCATGTTGGGGCAGGAGAGAGCCACAAGTTCACAGTGAGCACTGGCCTGGTCATGGCCCCTGTCCTGGGCATCAGAGAAGCTGCTTTGGATTCCAGGCTGCTACTACCAGCTTCTGTAACATCTCCCATTTTCAACAACTACAGATGCTGGTGGAGTCACCCAAGACTCCCTTTCCTAGGAGGGACTCCCCTCACAACACACACACACACACACACACACACACACACACACACACACACACTCATACTCAGTTGGGAACCTTGAAGGCCAGGGAACTGCCAGAGAGTTGCATGGTATTGAAATTGCAGGAGAAGGGAGGCCACCAAACTGGGGCCAGTAGGATGGGGTGAGGTATCACTTCCATGGAAGAGTGCATGTTGTAGGGAGCCTGCCTGGGCACTCAGGAGTACAAGGAGTCTTTTGAACAATGGACTCATCAGACTGAGACTCATAGATTTCATTGCTAAAGCTGTAATCCTTTGAGGCAAAACCAAGAAGAAAATGCTAGAAAAATTAACATCCTGGCCAAAAAGCAGAGCAAACATTTAAAACTATAAAATACTCCAAAGTACACCAATCCTCAGAAAGTAAAAAAAAGAGACCAAATGGAGAGGTAGGTTGAAGTCCAAAACTTCCCTTTGTTTTTCTCAAGGACACAGGTAATGACTTACACAAACAGAACTGCAGCAGATCTTGGTGAGCTCATACAAAACAAGTCAAAGAAAAAAATTATTTTTCCTAGTGTTTTAGAAAGTGGGAACAGGTTTTCAATGCCTACAAAATTGAAAATCTCTGGAAAAAAAGAACTCAGGGAAAAGAAACAAAGCAGAGAGTCTGATACCCCCAGCTCCTGGTCCTGGGCAGCAGGAGCATCACCCACCACCTGATTAGCGATGGACCAAGGCAAATTTCCCAGCCTGTGCAGGCATGTGGAGAGAGGTCCACAGACTCACAGTTCCACAGCTGAGGCAACACAAGTAGGATCTCATCCAACCCTATCCCCAAGAATGTAGACTATGACCCATAGAAGTCATGCTGGAGACAGCACTACCAGGAGGAATGAACAGGCTGCAAAGATGCTGGTGGGAAGGAGGGCCATCTCACATCAGTCCAGGCCATAGGCAGGAATAGCATCATACATTTCTGGATTGTTTAGGATGGCAGGGCAACTTTACCTGTCTCTTCCCATGGGCAGAGCCTCTGTTCACCTGGAATTAGATGACTCCTCAGAAGTGAGCTAAAGATCCAAGCATGCTTTGGGAAAATCAGCTGACACTGAACAGTACCACTGCAGACTTAAGATTTCACTTAGCTGGGTACAAATGGTCTTTTCTGTGGTAGCTGGCAACCATCACAAGGACTTAGATTGTATTTAAATCTACATACAAAGAATGCAAGATTGTGATTTTGGTCCAAAGGGCTAGATTATTTCGAATTCTTAGGTAGTGGGGCTGGTATTAAAACAATCTCATATGACCTTCTAACTCTTACAATGTTCCGAGGAAGCTAAGACCGTGTTGGGGTGAGGCCCTCACATCCTCTGGCAACTAGCACCACGTCCAGCAGTCCGAGTCATGGCCTCCATCTCCGAGCTCGCCTGCACCTACTCCATCCTTGTCCTGCATGATGATGAGGTGACCGTGATGGAGGATAAGATCAATGCCCTCATTAAAGCAGCTGGTGTCAGTGTCGAACCTTTCTGGCCTGGCTTGTTTGCAAAGGCCCTGGCTGATGTCAACATCAGGAGCCTCATCTGCAATGTAGGGGCTGGAGGCCCTGCTCCTGCAGTGGGCACTACACCTGCAATTGGCCCTGTGCCCTTCACCACTGCTACGCCAGCTGAGGAGAAGAAGGTGGAAGCAAAGAACAAAGAATTGGAGGACTGACATGGGCTTTGGTCTTTTCGACTAAACCTCATTTTGTAACATGTTCAATCAAAACTGAACAGCTAAAAATTAAAAAAAAAACAAAACTAAGGTACTTAAGAGGGGTGTGATGCTGAAATAATTGAACCTCGAATGATCTGAAAAAATTTTATCCATGTCAATAGCAAAAGTCCATGGTTGAGCTATGAAAGAATCTCCATCCTAACTGGCCACCTACACAACACAACCTCCCTTAAAGGAAGTGAAACTTGATTTTTGGAATTTGATTTCTTTGCAACTTTAATAACAGAGTGGGTTTTACAGTGTTCAAATTCTAATGCTGCAGATATTTTTAAAGCATCTATCAAGACTCACTGCATAGTTCTGCTGAGCTATTTTTAGCTTCAGAGGTTTTGTTCAGGGTGAATTATTTTTGATTTATCTATTTGGGAGCAGCTCACATTTCTCTTGTTACATTTCTTATTTCTCCTGTTATTTCTGACTCCGTAGGAGCTCTTAGCTTGGGTTGCATAGCTCAGCTCCTTCTGTAAGTTTCTGAGTCTCTTAAACGTGTTGTGATTTTCTTTGCCTGATCATTTGTCAGCTCCAACAAACCTATAAGTGTGAGTTCCTAGGGCTGCTAAGATAATGTCGAAGCAGTTTGCCTTCTTCTGGAATGGATGGCACAGTAGCTTAGAACAAAGCTGTTCCTACTCAGGCATATGTGTTTGAGGAAAGGAGAAAACCAAGCTTCAGAGTTCTGAAGAGCAACAAGCTTCCACCACCTCATGATCAGGGGACCAGAAATCACTGGTGAGTCCAGGTCTTCAGGGAGTGCAGATTCACAGGCTGCCACCGAAAGGACACTTAGGCATCCCTGGACAATTTTCTGGTATCTTTTGCTTTTTCTGCTGAAGGCCACTATAGACATCAAGGTTCCAGTTTTTGTCACATCACCTTGACAGAGAGCCAGGTCATGTTCTACTTGGGGCTCATTTTGGTGGCTCACTCTCAGGGAGAATTAGCAGGAAGATCTTTCAGGAATATGTTTCCATCTAGTCACCTTTGATATCTTTCCCCAGTGTTATATGATTATTCCCTGCAGGACAGGATCTCACAGTCCTCATGATATTTCTATTTAATAATTTCAGCTAGTTTTTTTTTTTTTATTGCTGAGACAAAATTCCCAGCACCCAAAGTTAAAGGAGGAAAGGTTTCTTTCAGTCACAGTTTATAGAGGGTTCAGTCCATAGTTGTCTAGCTCAAAGGAAGGGGGCTACAGCACAGAGGCATTGAAGAGGTGAAATAGTCCATGGTAGGTCATGTAGAAGGCAGCGAGCAGCAAGCAGCAAGCCTGCCTTCTTTCTGCTCCTTTCTTTTCCATCCAGGCTACAAGCCTATTGACTGGGGCCAGCCATGGGGCTTCCTGTTATCCATACTGAGAATTATGTAAATTCTAATTAGTGGATTAATTTAGTAGCCCACACCTTAATCCCAGTATCACATACCCTAAATCCAGGCAGCTTTGAAATGTACAATCTATAAGCACATGAAGCTTTGGTGGGGTAGGGGTGGGTATTTAGATGCCTAAGCCTCAAGATCAGCCTTTAAAATTCATTTATAAGTGAAAAGCTGATTGAACTAAAAATAATTTTTTAAAATTTTGTTTGATACATTTTCCTTTAGGAAAATTAAATACTTTAGTATGTTTAATATGAACCCATAGTCTTTTAAGTATCTTGATCTTTACAGATAAAAATTATATATCTGTTTGCAAAATGTCAGGTCACACTTGACAAAATGAAGCTTTTGTGTATTCTCTATTATCCAATCAGTCAATGAATATGTATGAGATGCCAACTATTTGCCAGATACTGTGTAGGTTATAACATAGCATGAACAAAGTATACCAAGATGCCACATATTTTGTAGCTTATAGTCTGGCAAAATGCAATATCTATTAAATAAGTGTCAAGGCCATTTAACAGGACAGCAGACAGTGTTACCCACCTCACAAGGAACTTCAGCAGGAAGCACCATGGCCAGGGATACAGCACTCTCGGAGGTTCCTGATGAGGCTTCAGGTTCATTTCTCTCTCTCTTTTCCCCAGGATTGTTCTCTCTTTGGTCTGCTGGAACGCTGACCTCCAGGTAATCTTCATAATCTAGAGGTCATTTGGTGAATACAGATTACAATGTATTATTT